TTCTCCAAAAATCATTTTGACAGACTACTAGTACTAGCAAAGCGTACGGATCGGATTAACGAGTAAATTTCTTCTTTGGAAAGTGTTGGCACAGTTCCCCACGTCGTATAGATGCGATAGTAAAACACGTCGTAAGGATAGGGTTAAAGACGCTCTGTTTAGAGCCATGAGCGTTTTATTCAAACAGATACTTCTATTTTGTTTTCTTGGCCGGACACTTTAGAGGGCATGCAACAACTTGTATACAACGAAACATAAATAATAACAAGCTAGGCCCCCTTTCGATGAAAGGAATGATCGGTGCTTTAATATCAACTAAAAGTCATTGGCCTACTATATTTACACTCTACAGGAATGGGACAATAAATCTTGAGAGATGCAAAAATTTATAAGGTCTAGATCTATACTCTCAAAACAAAATGCGCCTCGCGAAATATCACTTCCGGATTTTCTAAAATTACAAAGACAGGAGCGTCGGCCTACAAAAGCGATCAGCGAAATAAGGAAATTTAGCTTTTTGCAGCAAAACTGTCTCTAAACTGAAAAAAACGAAGGACGCCATGCTCTGGAGAATATTTTAAAGAATCTTTGGGCGAAAACCGTATGTCGATCAATGCAGCCATTAAAAAGCCTTTTGAATAGCATAATTGGGCCACCACAAATAGATACTAGATATGCACATTTGTGTTTCTGATTTGTGTATAATCAAAGAGTCTACATAACAAGAGGGGCCACTTCTCTCTTTGAGCCAATTAAAAAAGTGTCCTCAAAATTCGGGGGCTCCCTCTTTGCAAAAGCGCACCTTTAGCGAACAGAGTTATCCTACTTGAGTTAAAAAAATCAAAGTGAAACTAGCAAGTTTTTGAATGAATTTCGGAAGAACGCTTTTTTAAAATGGTTACGCTGACAAAAAACCTCTTCCGGAGGAAAGGGTGATTGTTTTCTTCGTTTAATTTGACTTTCGAATGAAAGGCGAGAGGTCATTAAAATTTAAAAAAAACTAAAACTCCGTACTGAACGAACCCGAACTGCTGATGAACAGAGGTCGATCTGTGCACGCAAGGAGGTGCTATTCCTATTCTTCTTCTGGAAAAACGAAAGAGAGCTTCAAAACAGACTGCAGCGCCATCTGAAGCAAAGAGCATACTTCCTGCGGACACTTTTTGGCTCAGTGGCCTATCTTGTTATTTACTATCTTTGGTATAATGGATGGAAATGTGCGGCGCGGATATATTGTGTTTGCTCTGCTGCAGATCGGACATTAATCATATTTTTGTCACGACGTGGTGGAATCGGGCGTTCGTCAATTTTTGGGCAAGTGGGATTATTGGTAAAATCTTAAAGCCTGTTCATTTGACTTCATTTTGGTTTTAAAAATCCATCTATTTTGAATAGAAGTCGATATATTTGCTACTGAAGGACGGGGAGGGAGGGGGGAAAGGGGGGGGGGGGGGGGTGCCTGGTTTCAGAGGTAAAATTAGCGAGAAAGTGGCCGCTAAAGTTTGGGGATTTCTAAAGCTTGAGAGTCGTTGGAAACTAAAAATATGTTTTTGTGCTTTTAGTCAACGTTTTTCGGTAAAATCCCAACATAAATGTGTTTTGAATAGACAAAAAATGTTGAGCTAAAACACAAAAAGTCGACAAAGAGAAATGCTGATATCTTCGAGTTTTTAAAATTTTGAGCAGCGTCTGATTTCACCACGCTGCCTTACACATATATTGTTAAGTCCGCTTCGTGCCCTAAGAATTAATAGAACTACCAAACAACACCAACTACTCTAAACCATTAACAACAAAGAGGTGAATGAAATAAAGATGTGTAGATGCCCCCACCTTAAAGACCCCGTGTTAAATCCCTCTACACAAAACATATCAAATTACTCGGGCATTCTTGTAAGTCATCTGTTTGCGTGTGTGGAATGTACAACGTCAGTGACACAGAAGTGCAGTCAAACTTGTCTAAGACGGCCCTTCATTCGCTGCTTTAGAATTACAACGGCCTATCTGACATTTCTGGCTTTTTGAGTTCCTGAGACCACCAGGTCAGAAACCAAATTCTCTCTTTCTGCTCTACCAAAATCGTCAGATTATTCGGATTCGTTATCAAGTTATTCAAAGAAATGCATCGGAAAAGCTTTGACATGTTGTGAAGCTCAACATTTTACGTCAAAATTGTCAAAACTCGGTACTGAGAAGATAGAACTTTGTAATTCAAGGGTAACGCATTGTCGAGAAAAAAAAGTGATTGTCTTTAAAACAAGTCTTGTAAAGTGTCAATATATCATTTTAAATAAAAACGTAAGTGGGAATGTAGTGTATGGTAATTTGTACAGGTGATTGTCTTGGATAGGTGCCCGTTAAAGCAGGTTCGACTGGATATTAATTAGGACCCCCCCCCAAAAAAAAAACAAAAAAAAAACTACAACAAAACAACAACAACGAAACAACAACATCAAAGTAACAACAAAACAAGAGAGGTTTCCCCCGGAGGCAATATACTATGTAATAGGGAAGAATGTGTCCCATACGTTTGCCGGGGTTGGGTTACAAACAAAACATGGAATGAAATAACACAATTGCTGCTGACTGAAATCAGCATCGTCATATCCAGGAGAGAAATGCTTATTATCGACATTAGAAATGTTGGAGAAATTATTCTTATTTAACAACATAAATCAATACCATTTTTAACATTATAAAAGATTCAACATTTCGACTCCTTCTCTCTCTCGGTCTCTCTCTCTCTCGCTCTCTCTCTCGCTCTCTCTCTCTCACTCTCTCTCACTCTCTCTTTCTTTTCTCTCTCCCTATCTCTCTCTCATACACACACACACACACACACA